ATTTGCAAAGGTGAAATTGTTACTACTATATTAGCCACTGACCTCTCTTGGTATGATGAATCATACAGCATAAAACATTAAGACTTGAGCCAGCTTCATTGTTAGCCTGTTTAACATTTTTGTTTGCTTATTGATTTAAATGGTTTTGTGTTCCATTTTTCCTCTGCATAACTTAAGAAGGCAAGAAATGAAAGAAGCCTTAATTGAAAGACTCAGTCAAATCAATGACATTAATACAATATTGTTGAAATAAATATTTTTTCTGTGTAACATGTGCTGAAAGTTTGTATGTGCCAATTGTATTTTCCCTTTAAAAGTGCAATTGCACTACACTGTGTTATATATTACTCTCACATAGAAATGTGAGTATAACAAAACTGTTTATTTAGGGGTCATGTAACCTATGCCTTCTGAGCTTTAGTGCTAATCTCCATCCTTTGAACATAGTATGATGGCGGTCTTTTTTTGCACTGGCACAGTAGTATTTTAGATGTTTATAAACTTACTGTAGGTTAGCAAATCATTCACCTCTCCCTTTAATATGACTGTGTTGAAAAATCTGTTGTGAGATTTAAACAGCTTCCTAAAAAAGGAAATTGTTACTTTGTATTTGCAAAGGTGAAATTGTTACTACTATATTAGCCACTGACCTCTCTTGGTATGATGAATAGTACATAATGTGCCCATACATATGTGTACTGCTGAGAGATGAGCTTCAGGATATGATCCTAGGACCTGTATTTTCTTCTAAAGTATTAGCAGACATGTAGCCATGTTTTACAGCCCACTAACATTTGATAAATGCTCTTGTAGTTGGTCAACACAGTTGAATCCAGGTTTAAAATACTTTGAGAGGACCCCTTGAAATAAATAATGATTTCAGTGTCTCAGTCTTTATTATACTTCCCAAAGTATAATAAAGACTGAATCAAATTAATTGTTTTGTATTAGTGGTACGTAGGTGATGCAGCTATAAGCCACTGTAGATTCCAGATGCATATTTGCCCATTCAAAATGCAAATGCAGTATTGCATGTGATTTTGAGTAACGGAAATACGTGATTCATCTTCCCAGTGTAGTAGACAGGGATGTGTATACTGCTTTGTTCTAATTTACTCCGGTAGCTGATCTGCTGTAGTGCTATGTTGTTCTGTGCTTACCTGCACAACTTATGGGTGGGTGTTATTAGATGACTGTGCTTTATGGGTGTGTTTTTGCTGGTCAGTCTCCCCATCTATCCACTCCTTAATGCCATCTGGTTTTTTTTTAAGTTTTCTTGGATTATCAATGTAATGTGTCCATACATATGTGTACTGCTGAGAGATAGATGAGCTTCAGGAGATTATCCTAGGACCTGTATTTTCTTCTAAAGTATTAGCAGACATGTAGCCATGTTTTACAGCCCACTAACATTTGATAAATGCTCTTGTAGTTGGTCAACACAGTTGAATCCAGGTTTAAAATACTTTGAGAGGACCCCTTGAAATAAATAATGATTTCAGTGTCTCAGTCTTTATTATACTTCCCAAAGTATAATAAGGTAAAGGTAAAGGTTCCCCTTGACAATTCTTGTCCAGTCGTGTTTGACTCTAGGGGGCGGTGCTCATCCCCGTTTCCAAGCCATAGAGCCAGCGTTTTGTCCGAAGACAATCTTCCGTGGTCACATGGCCAGTGCGACTTAAACATGGAACGTTGTTACCTTCCCACCAAGGTGGTCCCTATTAATCTACTCGCATTTGCATGCTTTCGAACCGCTAGGTTGGCGGGAGCTGGGACAAGCAACAGGCGCTCACTCCGTCACGTGGATTCGATCTTATGACTGCTCGGTCTTCTGACCCTGCAGCACAGGCTTCTGCGGTTTAGCCCACAGCGCCACCACATCCCTAAAGTATAATAAAGACTGAATCAAACTAATTGTTTTGTATTAGTGGTAGGTGATGCAGCTATAAGCCACTGTAGATTCCAGATGCATATTTGCCCTTTTGAGAGGACCCTTTGAAATAAATAAAACTTAAATTAGTCATAACTAATTTAGGTCTTACTGATTTCAATGTCTCAGTCTTTATTATACTTCCCAAAGTATAATAAAGACTGAATCAAATTAATTGTTTTGTATTAGTGGTACGTAGGTGATGCAGCTATAAGCCACTGTAGATTCCAGATGCATATTTGCCCATTCAAAATGCAAATACAGTATTGCATGTGATTTTGAGTGACGGAAATACGTGATTCATCTTCCCAGTGTAGTAGACAGGGATGTGTATATAGAGGACAAGTGGATGTATGTGACACTTTACAGAGGAAAGAGAAAAGGGAAAGTGGAAAAATAGGCTAAGGCAGGAAATAGAGACTGGAAGAGGTTTGAAACTGAGGAAAGTTATAGAGAGCCCGAAACCACAATGGTTTTTAAAAGAGCTTACCCACCCTAAGCATTTGTTCACCTTTCCTGCACACATGGGCCAAAAAGAATGTCAGCATACAAAGTCGGATGGAAAACTATCCTTTCAGGAGTGTGGGAAGGAGGTTTATACCACCAGTAGGTTGTGGCATGTTTTTTTTTTCTGCTTTGTTCTAATTTACTCCGGTAGCTGATCTGCTGTAGTGCTATGTTGTTCTGTGCTTACCTGCACAACTTATGGGTGGGTGTTATTAGATGACTGTGCTTTATGGGTGTGTTTTTGCTGGTCAGTCTCCCCATCTATCCACTCCTTAATGCCATCTGGTTTTTTTTTAAGTTTTCTTGGATTATCAACTGCTTCTCTTTTCAGTTTTCTTTTTTCTTTTGCCTAGCATAAATTTAGCACTAAGGCACATAGGTGCTTATTTCAAAACACTGGAATCTTGCAGTATATTTAAGATACTTAGCAATACCTCATTCTTTTTGCTTTGTTTTTCTGGTTTTCTTTTGTTTTCCTAACCTGCAAAATCCTTACCTATTTCCTTTGTTCTTTCACCAGCACCCTCCAGTAAGCATTTTACTCCTTAGTGATGTTGTCACATTCCAAAAGCAAGCACTGATTAAATAATGTAGTACCTAAGCAAAAATCTAAAGGTTAAACACTTGGAATCTTACATGCTGAAATAGATAAAAACATGAAGATTCGAGTACAGTGTGAATGAAATAAAAGGAGAGAGAGGGAGAGAGAGAGAGAAGTGGAAGACGTGAAGGCAGAGAACATAGACAAAAAAGGACAGTGATCAGTGCTGGAGCAATTTTCAGTACATGTGGACAGGCAGTCCCAAAATGACCCAGTGCAACTGAATACAAGGAACAACAAATAACCTTCCCAAATATTAAGATACCCTATTCAAACTTGCAACAACAAACAATACCAGAATGACTCATCCATCCACAGTCTGGATGAGCCCTTATATGAGGGCCAAATTATTTTTGCATGAACAAAAACAAAAGCAATTTACTGTATCTCCCCTCTTGCATTTCCTGTAGCTCCCTATTACCTGTTAAAAAGAAGTCCAGGCTATGTCAAAGCTCATATCTTGCAACAAACTTTTCAAAACCTGTTTTGAAAAAGACAGAACTGCCAGAATACCCTCCTTACATAAGAAAAAAAATATTTGCTTTTATTATTAAAATTATTTACTGTTGCTGTCATAGATCATGTAGCTAGGGATATCTTTTGTTAACATGGGCTTAAGACTGTTTACACATGAAAGGTAGGGCACTTCTACATCTGTATTTTAATTTGTGCAATAGCATTATTACACTTTCTAGTATTAAGAACGCTTAATATACACTGGCTAAAATTGTGTTGCTTAGCATAGTAATTTGTACTAGAAAAGGCATAGTGAGGATTGAGTGAGTCAACTCTGCTGTAAACTCCATGGATTATAACGGGCATACCCACAGTTGTCACTTATTTTAGTGTACGAAATAGCAACTACAGTTGGTCCATTTGAGTCAACAAAACCTATGAAGGAGCTGACTTACCAAACTACCACTGATTCAATGGGTCTGCACTAGTGTGACTTCCCATGCTAAGCAACAGGATTTCAGCCACTGTCTTGTAATTCTTAGAACACTGTGTGGACGGTCAATGTTTAGCATTTCTGTATTGTACATAGGGTGCAGTAGGATGAGGTTAAAAATTCCACTAGGTCAACATTATAGCAAAGGTGAAGTTTCGGTCAGAGATTTCCTGATTTGTATCCCAGTGTTTAACTTGTTATGTTACTGCAGCTTTCAGTAGAACTTATTGAACTGACTGGTTGCTATTTTGATGTGGATAGACATGCACAATGAGGACCACTAGTTGTCACATGTGGCTTAGCTTGATCAGGGAATACTTTTGTGTAGCTGTACTAAGATAATCTTTATGCTGATAAAAGCTGCAACAGCCTCAACAATAATTTAGTCTTTTGACCAGGAGCATAGTTGTATGTATTTTATAGTCACTTCATTTCAAAAAAATTGTTAGACATCTCATTGGTTAGAATCAAGTCAACTGCATAGATTCCTTGACATTAAAAACTGGTATTTGAAATATGTTGGATGCACTTCCCTGATAGATATGCCTGGTCATGTGCAATGTGTGGCCCAAGTGTGTGTACTTGTTTTAGTGTAAAGATGTAGGCTAGTCTGTTCACTTTCTGGTTACTGTAGTGGTAGCAAATCACAGACAATGTTTTGTGTAGAGTTTTTTTTTTTTCCTGTCTTTTTGTCTATGCAATTAGATCACAAAATGTTGTGAGAATTTGCAATCCCTGTGTTTGATGTTATAAAGATGTGCAAATTTCAGCTTCTAGCAGAGTTAGTTGGATGTCTTTGTTGTTGTTGTTGTTTATGAAAGGAGAAGTGGGGTGATTCTCTGAGCTCCCTGCAGAGCAGCTTTGTTCTTGTTTTGGAGGTAGCCTTGTTTATACTCTTTCTCTTTCTCTCACCCCCACCCCCACCCCTATCTTGGGCAGAGGAAATTACATCAGTATGCATAATGAAGCAATAGGAGAGCAGTGCAGGCTGTTTGGAAGTGGACTCTTTAGTTTGTTCTCACGGTCTGTTAAGTGTGCAACTGGCAGGGCAGAAAACGTCCTGAAAACATTTAAGGAGTGTATAAAATTTGCAAGCAAAAGAGGGTGAAGGAAATCTGGCAGACACGTCAAGTTAAATTATTAGAAGGGCATGGGCTTGGATTATAGACTTCATGGTCTTGACACAATTAATTTTATGGAGCTGTATTTTTTTTATTGAAATTTGAACAGAGGAGATGTCATTATGAATCACCGAGCCACAGCATCTAAGACAAAAAATGACAATTATCTGAGCATAAAGGTATGTTGTATGCTGGGGCGGGGAGAATATGGACTTAAACGATTATAGCAATGCCTTTTAGCAGGCTAAAGAATAACAACTATTGAAGAGTAGTTTTATTATCAATTATTTACAGCAACAGTTACGTGTTATAGTCAAATAAATGCTGAATAAGTATTTAAAGACATTTTGGCATTGAGTTCATACCATCTCTGGAGCATACCTGTTAAAAGATGAGAGTCTTGTTCTCTTTTTTGGCCCATGACTTGATACTAATTGATAAATTAGTATCAGTTTTTACAAACAGATTTTTGTATTTGTGATTGTACAAAATAAATTGCTACTTTGTTTCTTGTTGTGAAAGGCTTGGAATCTGTTCTCTTAAGATTGTGTAAGAATGTCTGTTAATTAAAATAGAGATTAACCTGGTAAAAACTGAGAGGCAGAATAAAAATTAGAGAAGTACCTTTGTAACCTTGAACAAGGAAGGGCCTGGGCTTGTGTTTTACTGCGTTTCATTTCACTTTTCTAAAGAGATAAAAGGAAGTTTTTTGGGGGTGGGGGTTGTATGTCTTTTCTGAATTTCATTGGAATTGCATTTGTTGTGGCTTTTTAATACTTTTCTCAGAATGAAAGGATTAAGATGTTTGTACAAAGTTATAAGAAAACATCAGGCTAAACTCAGGTTTTGTTCTAACTAAAAAGATCCTTTGAAACGAAGAGGAATGGGTCTGCTCTAGCTGGAAACAAGACTGAAACAAATACTTTGGTGTTAGTAAGTCAAACATTTTTAAGCAGCAAAGACTTGGAAGGAAGAATTTCAGAAGAAAGCATTATTTATTTATAAACCAGACATTTGAGACTTAGAGTATTTTAGATTACTTATTGCTGCAACATTAAATGAGATATAAATTGTGATGCCTCAAGTTTCATCTTGTGTTCTTTTTTCTTTCACTGAACTAAAATTTCATGTTGGAATTCAAGTCCAATCCAAGTATTTTACTGTCTGAGACAGAGAAGCAAATCCCTCCCTTCCATTGAGTACACAACACCAAGGCTGACCAGATCATTTCAACACCTTAAAAAAATCTCACAGGTTGCTGAACCAAGATGCCTAATGGTTAGACTAGCCCTGACATCCCTGATATCTTCCAGAATCTGAGCTTTAATTTTACTTCTTTACATGAAAGATCTGTCATTACTTTATAGAAGATTTTATTTCATGATCATCTTGTAAAATGTGAACAACTTTATAGGTATCTTTCAATATTAATTAATATTCTTTCTAAACTCATCTTGGTTTCATAACATTTTTGCAGATTTTTTATTCAGAATTCATAAGCTGATATTTGAAATATTATTTTGCTGACTTTTAATACTGTTAAACATTTTCTGTTCTACTCTTTGGATTTTTTTTTCCTACTGTGATATGCACCAAAATTTTAAATGATCCATATTGTCATATACATAGAGAATTCATTATCAGATCTTGTATTTAATATTATTTAGTTCTGCCCAGCCAAGTTCTCAAAGCAATGCACAACAAAGAATAAAAAGTATTTTAAAAAACCAAGGAATTTGCTTGAAATAAACTTTTGCATATTAAATTCATTTCCTGCTCTAATATACTATACAATAATACCTGCATCTGAGAGACCCCTGAATTCCTGAAGAATTGCACATAGATTTTTTTTCTTTAAACGTCACAAATGTAGTATATCCTTCTGGAGCTGTATAATCTTTCTGATACTGATGGCTTTGACAGTATTATTTTTCTACAAACCCTCTTCAGTTTAGAGCAATAATAATATTACTGAGACATTTGTGAATTAAGTAGAGTCAGATAAACACTCGTCCCACTAAGATACACTCTCCCTGGAAAGCTCATACAAAGTTGTGTCTGTCAACAGAATGGCTAGGTTTCATGTAACAAAACAATACTGAATTTAGCTGGTGACTGCACTTGTTGGGAAAGACGCACAGAGAAGAACAAAGGATTCACTCACAAACAGGGCTCAGTGTAGGGACCTTTCACGCCACCTGATTTGAAGGCCTGTGATTAGATTCCTGTTCTATAAATGTTTTCCAGATGCTAAAAGGATTGGGTGTATGTGTGCAAATATGATGAGGGATGCTGTGTTACTGAAATGCAGATTAAAGCTTAACTCATATTTGGGATGTTATAATTACTCTTCCACTCCCTCCTCCTGCCCAGCAGCCATGCAGAGCAAGCAGCCAAGCATGAAAAGGCTAGAACAGCTGCCTGCTGCTTACCTCAGCTACCGTGTCCTTTAGCCCATCTTTTGTCTCATCCTCCTGTACAGAGGGACATGTTGGAACATGGCTAGGCTTCCTGCTTCAATCCAAGAGAAAAAAAATGCTACCTGTCTGTTCCCTCAAAAGTGACTGCCAGATGTCTAAATCTTCTAAGATGAAGCTGCTTCTGTTGCATTTCAGTCTGTAAGAGAATTTCAGGCCCAGATTATGTCTACACCTAGCCCATCATTAGAATAGGAAATTGTGCAAGAGCCAGGAGCATCTGTTGGCCACAGCAGGAGCTTTGAATGCCTCTTGTAACTGCAAATTATTGCATACTTTGCTTTGTGATTGGTCCTGAGATGTACACATGGACTTCATCTGCAAGCCATGATGATCTGCAAGAAGGCATCATGTCCCTGGAACACAAAGAAATTTCCAGCTTCCAGTGGTGAGTTGTCTGTAAACCATATGGTTTAACCATTAGCGAGCTCGACGACTTCCCCAGCATTGGTATTACAGGTACATCCAGCTTTCTCTTTGAGACACCATGTTCCACTGCTGCTGCTGCTGTATGATGGCAGGATGTCCCCCACACAGGCATCCTTCAGTCTCGAGAGACTATGGTAACGTGCTCTGTATGGAGGACCTGGAACAGCGTCTAGTGTTTCAACACTGTATGCGAAGCTGGAGTGTCCTCTCCAGGGCACGAAGCCTGAGTAGAATAATATGGAGGATAGGCTGTTACCCAAGCAGCAAATCCCCTCTCCACATTGCTGAAATAGTCCAATGGAAAGGCAAGAGCCAATACAACTGGTTCCAGCAATGTTGCAGGAGTTGACAGAATGACACGAACTGCCTCCGGGAATCCAGCTCCGAATGTTGCCTTGAGGTTAACTCCTGAAGCCTTTTCCATCAGTGGATATGGCCACCAGGCACTGGAGGTTTGAAATAGGAGTTTTCCTTCTCCTAGATGGGCTGCCTTCCAAGGCTGATGAGCCCCACCTACCCAGCCTGTTCCCTCATGGCATGGAGGACGATGGTGTCGTGGAAGGGAAATGGGGTGGAGAGGAGCCAAGAGACACTGCATGGGTCAAAGCCTCCTCCATGAATTCTTTGTGCAAAGCCCTTTGGCCAGGATCCAGCAGAGCCCACTCCTCCTCTGAGAAATTCACAGCCATCTCCTCCAGAGCTTCTGTAACCTGATCTGGCTGCATGGACTTCATCTCCATTTTCCCACAAACGGACATGCAAAGATATGTTCCTACCTTTTTTCCAGGACTGGGGATGTCCCAGCAGCTGAGGTATTCCAAATAGGTAGCAGTTGCTTATGACTGTCATCAACTGCTTGACCAAGTTTGCTGCCACAAGCCTTTATTTCCATCTTCTTAATGTATGTACTAGCCTTATTTGGAATATGATGTTGAGCAGAGAACTTTATATCCTGCAAACCTGAGTTTTCTCCTTTCTTAAAATGAAAAGAAGTGTCTTGCCTTTAAGATTACAGGTATTAAGGCTGCATCTATGTGAATAGTGGGTTGATTTTTTAAAAAGCTTAAATCCCCCCAGTTCATGATGCCTTGTTCTGATACAACAGACCTCTTCTCCCTTGGCCGTGGCTGTCTTTTAAGAAACCACTTGAAGTCATAAATCAGCTTTGAACATTTACTGAATACCTTCCTTTGCTCCTGAATTAAGAGCAGCTTGGCTCCTATTAAAGAACATTTCAGGGCCAATTATAAGGCTTACATATAGGCTCATTTTACAAAACTATAAAGCAGACTACTAACACTACTTTCCTGTTTTACTAAAAATTGACCTCATTTTTTAAAATATATATATATAGGCTCTTACCCAAGGCTGTTCTTCATGTCAAGTATGTGCCTTGACATGTACCTATCTGCATGATTTGCGGGCAGCCAGCCAAATTAGGAATATATCTTGCTGTGTTAGGCCAAATCCACCTAATCTAGCATTATTTTAACTAACAGTGACAAGCCAACTGCCTCTGAAAGTTCACAAAGCAGGGCTCAAGGATTTTAGTTTGCCCTTATTTATTCATTTGCAGTACTATGGAAATACAATGGCTAATTGCAATAACTCTTGTTTAGAATTTGTATTACTTGGCCATATAATGTTGGCGTTCTTCTCCATCTTCTCTGTAGAGCAAGGAATGCATAGTCTGGTACATAGAGACAAATGGATTGGAATTGATTAGCCAACAGCCAGAATCCTTTTGGTCTTTGTGTAAGGTTTGTGTTACTTGCTGTGGCTAAATGCAGCTAATCAGTGAGATGCAGAAGTGTATCTTGGTCGTGTGCTTGGTAAGGCACCCCGCTGCAAATCCAAGATGCACCCTGGCACTTTTTCAGTTACCTGGGATTAACAGCATCACGTTGCACAAACCTCATGTGAACATCAATAGGATTTTGACCAATAACTACTGTCATACAGCAGTATAACTACAGTAAATCCTTCATAGTGACATCTACTACCATAACATGTTGCATTTCAGTTTGTGAATGCAAATAGATTGTTTCCTGTCACAATGTGGAAGAGTATAATGCACTGTGAAGATGAGTATAATGCACTGTGATGAGTATAATGCACTGTGAAGATGACTTCCAGTAGCCCAAGATCTGTTTTTTTTCCCCCAAATAAAAATGCCAGGGACTGAACCTCGAATGTTTGCACGGCAATACAGTGCCCTTCCTCTTGGACTGATCAGAATATTTGATTGCATGATCTCAGTAAGGTTTACAACA